TTACTCCGAATTCAGGTCAGGCTTGGTGACGGGTGGTTTTCCCTGCTGAGCCATCTCACTGACCCTTGTGTTGTTACTATTTTGTTGGGGGAGGATGCCCATTTGGGTCCCAGCTACCCAGATCCAAAATAACTACACAGAAACTATATTATTTGCAACACTGTTTGGTCTATTAGCTTATGCATATCTCTAGCTCACTCTTATATCTTAAGTTAACCCATTTCTATTATTTTATATTTTATCATGAGGCTCATGGCCTGCTGGCAAGATTCCAGTGCATCTGTCCCAAGAAGTGGCTACATGGTATCTTGTGACTCTGCCTTCTTTCTCCCAGGATTCATTTTAGTGCCATCCCCCCAACCCACCTAGCTCTACTCTGCCCTATCACAGGCCAAGGCAGCTTCTTTATTTATTAACCAACAAAAGCAACACATATACAGAAGGACTTCCCACATCAATATTTGTTTGTTTAAATAATGGAGAGCATTAATAGACATGCTGGGGTACTTACATGGCCATTCAACCTTTATAGTAACCTATGAGGTAAGTACTGTTATCTTCATACCCACTTTACAGATGAGGTCACTGAGGCACACAGGCATGCATTGCTGGAAGTCAAAGCTGTGAGAGAACCAGCACTCAAACTAAGCAGGTCTAGAGCACAGCCCTTGCTCTCCGCTGCACTTACACCACTCTTATTACAGGAATAACAAGACAGGAAAAGAGAAAATGGAAAACCGACTCTAGCCAGAGAGAATGCTCGTCAAAAGAAAAGGCCACAATCAATAAAGCATTTAGCCGCTTTCCTCTAAATATGAGGTGCACCGTCCTGGGATGGAGGAAAGTCAAGGAGAAGTCATGTTGACCAAAACAAAACACGCCATCATAACAAAACAAACACGCCATCGTAATCAGAGTGAGACCCCACCTCGTTCCAGAGCGTAGGGATCCATCGCAAGCTTAGAGGGCTGAGTGTGGAGATGAAGACAGCGGGCGGCAATGAGCTACCCAACAGCTGGCTAATCTTCCCTACGGGTCAGAAGCCTAAGGAGGGATGCTCAGGGAACAAGCTGCTGTCCTTTCTAGTCAAGTGCCTCAGGCTGTGGTAGGGCAGTTATTGTTCACCCGCAACGGGCAGTGCAGGGCACACTCACTTGGAGAAACAATCCAGACAGGTCCACCTTGAGAGGAACTTGGAAAACCATGAGGAACTCGACTCTGGGGACACAACTCGGGCCATTCACTTTACTCCTCCAAGCCTCGGTTTCCCCACTTGGAAACCTGAGGTGACTTGGCCAAGTGTCATCAAATCAGAGAGCAGACTGCTTGTAAAACATTAGCACCAAACAGAGCCTGGCACCCAGCCAGGTTCCGCGAGGAAAGAGGCGTATTTCTATTATCAGCAGACTGAGTCCTGAACAGCTCAAACAAACAAGTTAGAGAGGGTCGGATGAATCTTAAAGACGCACTGGGGGAAAAAACGAAACCAGAGGCGCAGAAGGCTCTGAGGACTGTGCATCCCAGGAAGGAAGAATTTATCCACATCTCATTGGAAAGCGCAGTGTCAGCTCCGGGGCTCTAGGTGGCGCAGGTCCTCCACGGTCGCTCAAGTCTCAACCAGCAAGGACAGAGATCTTCATGTGTGTGTTGTCAGGGCTGTGACTCCATCTTCAAAAGCACACAGGGCATCAGAGACATACGAGTCACGAAAGCAAGGCCGTGTAGGGTGTCCAGGATTAAGAGAGAAGTCACCAGAGGAAGGAGCATTGGTCTGGCAGGGGAACCAGATAGCACAGGCCCCAGAGAAGCCCCTGGGCTTTGGCCAGGTCATTTAACAAAGTGGGGCTTGGTTTATTATTGTTCTCCTGGATCAGGAAGTTGGATGTGGTTTAGGGTATATCTTCTTGGGACTGAAAATGAGGTAGAGAACTTGTCTAGCATTCTAGAAGCTCTGGGTTCAACTTCCAGTACCGCAAGACAAGGTCTTCCTTGGGGCTTGAGTAGAATAGTGGCCCCAACACTCGGCTGTATCACAGCAGCAAGCGAGCAGCTGGAACCGAGACAACTGGAGAAATGGCGCTCACTTATAAGATCCCGAGGCTAGCTTGAACATTATGATCGCCTGAACAAATGCTTTGGAGAGGGAATCCATGTGACCCCCAGGATCCCACAGAACAGTTTGCAAATCCATGGTTTAGCTCACAGTTTTCATAAAAATGGAAATTCAGAAAAGAAATGCATTTACCCAAAGATCACATAGCAGGTTTATTGACAAGCCACGACTGTAACGTGGGTTTCCTGCTCCCAGTCCTGTATCAGCCTCCCAGACTAGTTATAGGAACAGAAAAGAACAGAGTTAGGTCGGCATAAGAATGGGATTTCAAGCCGGGCGGTGGTGGCGCACGCCTTTAATCCCAGCACTCAGGAGGCAGAGGCAGGCGGATCTCAGTGAGTTTGAGGCCAGCCTGGTCTACAAGAGCTAGTTCCAGGACAGGAACCAAAAAGCTACGGAAAAAGCCTGTCTCAAAAAAAAAAAAAAAAAAAAAAAAAAAAAAAAAAAAAAAGAATGGGATTTCAGGCCAGGCGGTGGTAACCTTTAATCCTAAAACTCAGAAGGCCAAGGCTGGTGAATCTCTGTGAGTTTGAGGATAGCCTGGTCTACAGAGTGAGTTCCAAGATGGCCAGGATGTTACACAGAGAAACTCTGTTTCTAAGAACAAAACAAAAAAACCAAAAAAAAAAAAAGAAAAGAAAAAGAAAAAAAAGAAAAAATGGGATTTCACAAGTCTGATCAACTAACTGAACATCTTCCAGCTCTACCACAGTGACTGAAATCCCTTCTCATCTGCTTATAGAACCTCACGGAGCTCAAGGTTAGGGAGTCTCCCAGCCCACCCATCTCCACTCTCAACTTCCCAAGAAGACCCGACATGTGCCACACCTGAGATTCTTAGCCCAAAGTACCATCGGGTTTACTTCAGCTTCTGAGCACGTGCCCAGCACATGCGCAGCACACGCCCAGCACACGCCCAGCACATGCCCATCACACGCCCAGCACATGCCCATCACACGCCCAGCACATGCCCATCACACGCCCAGCACATGCCCATCACACGCCCAGCACATGCCCAGTACATGCTCAGCACATGCCTAGTACACGCCCAGTACACGCCCAGCACACGCCCATCACACGACCAGCACATGCCCAGTACACACTCAGCACATGCCCAGTACATGCCCAGCACACGCCCAGCACACGCCCAGTGCACTCTCAGCACACGCCCAGCACATGCCCATCACACGCCCAGCACATGCCCAGTACACGCTCAGCACATGCCTAGTACACACCCAGCACACTCTCAGCACACGCCCAGCACACGCCCAGCACACACCCAGCACACGCCCAGCACACACCCAGCACATGCCCAGTACACACTCAGCACATGCCCAGTACACGCCCAGCACACACCCAGTGCACTCTCAGCACATGCCCAGCACACGCTCAGCACACGCCCAGCACATGCTCAGTACACGCCCAGCGCACTCTCAACACATGCTTAGCACATGCCTAGCACACGCCCAGCACACACCTAGCAATGCTCAGCACACACCCAGCACACGCCTGGCACACGCAGCACTGCCCTCGGTCATCCTCATGCAGACCCTCTCCCCCAGGACCCGTCTCTGGATAAGTGAGGTCAGCTCTCACACTCTTCCCCCAGTCGAGCTCCCAGACTATAGTGCTGTTACTGTTGTCTCTCCAAAATTGTTCCTCTTCACTCCCTTGTCTACAACACTGTGTGACTCCCTTTTGTCCTACTCCAAAAATGCTCACACTGAGCTTTTCATTCCTGGGGTGTGGTGGGGTCGCTGTTCCATGAGGTGGGATACCTTCCTTTGCCCTAAATACCACATCCTCATCAATGCCCAAATTCCAGTTTTCCTACATTTCATCGTGTTTCCTATGACAATACTGTTTCATACACAGCCCCTGCTAGCCCCAGCCTTGCCATGGCTTGTATTCTCTCTCCCATTGCTTCATATAAAGCTCTAGGGACAGGACCTCTAACCTTTGCCGGGAAATTCTTGGCAGCTCAGATATTTCGACCCTGCCTTGGTCTCCTCTGGCGGGCTTCATTCCTGCAAACGGTCCTCCACCCCCCCCTGCACGTCTTGGGGCCCTAGCAGGTCAGCCCTCCCCTGGCTCCTGTACTCTCTGACTTACCTGAGTCCATTCTCTTTCTCGGGAGCGCTATAGGACAGGATGTGGAGTGTGCCTGTGCTGGAATGCCAAGAGCAGAGTATCCTGAGATTTCAATGCCATAGATAGGAGTTACAGAGATGGCTCAGCACATAAGGGCACTTGTTGCTCTTGAAGAGGACCAGGGTTCAGTTCCCAGCACCCTCTTCTGACTTTGGCAGGCACCAGGCACTAGTGCGCCGCCCATGCACAAACGGAGGCAGAGCACTTAAGCACAGAAAAGAAAATGAATGGATCTCTTTTAAAATGGCTAAGAGAACCAGGAGGTAATGGCACACATCTTTAATTCCAGCACTCGGGAGGCAGAGGCAGATGGATCTCTGTGGTCCAGCCTGGTCTACAGAGCTAGCTCTAAGACAGCTCAGGATACACAGAGAAACCCTGTCCTGAAAAACAAAACAAACAAACAAACACCACAACAAAATACAAATAAAAGGGAAGAGCCTTAGACAGAGGGAGAGAGTGGCCTCTGGAGCCGGGCGGTGGTGGCACGTATCTTTAATCCCAGAACTCAGAGGCAGAGGCAGGCGGATCTCTGTGAGTTCGAGGCCAGACTGATCTACAAGAGCTAGTTCCAGGAAAGGCTTCAAAGCTACAGAGAAACCCTGTCTCGAAAAACAAAAACAAACAAACAAAAAGAGTGGCCCACGCATGATGATATAGATGATTTCTCTACCAGACTCACGCCTTACACTTTTTGTCCAACTGGTATTTAATGGAGACCTTTAGTATGCTTTTTTTCAAGATTTTTTATTGTTTTGCTTATTGAGGCAGGGTCTTGCTTTTAGCCCAGACTGACCTCAAACTCTGCCCCCTTCTGCTTCTTCGTCCTCAGTGTTGAGCTCACAGGCACGTGCCTCCAAGCCTGACTGGATCCCCTAGGGGAAGTATGTGTTATTTGGAAATGGAGGGGAAAGAGTAGTGGATAAGGACTCCCTTCTGAAGTGGACCTGGATGGTCCATCTGGAAAGGAATGCTCACTCATACTCACCCCATACTCCAACTTCCACCTTAAGGGGAAATCTCCTGCCTGCCTCCCTGCCTGCATGCATGCATGCTTGATACAGGCCCAAGGCATTTCCGTTCAAACGAAGAAGACCCTTTGTTCTAGAGAGATACAGCTATCTTTGTGGAAAGTAATACCTGGGCCACGGGGAAGAGAGGGCAGGGATCTTGGCTTAGAAGTCTGGTTAGGGCTATTTTCTTCTGAGGAGAACGTCTAAGGTCACTTCCCAGACAATAGGTTTGGAAAAGGAGAGATCAGAGATAAGGGTCACAAGGGCCTCTGCATAGTGAGTGGGTCCACCAGACCCATTTCCAAGACTTCCCAAGGCCGGATCCAGGATGAGGGGGTCTGGGTTCCTCGTTTTGCCCCTCACGCTGAAAACTAAAGGAAATACGGAGGCAACCTGGTCCTCTTGTCCTCCGTAGGTGAAGCGCCTGATGGGCCACCGACTATTCCTAGACTAAGCTGTAGCCCGGCCTGCCCTCTCTCGGACCAGCAGAGGGCGCGCACCACTAACGGGAAAAGAGGACTAGTCGCCAAGACCGAGTGGGAGAAATCCTTTGAAAAGAGTAGAGACATCTAAGGTGGAGGGTGGGAGCCAAAGCTACTGGGAGCAGCAGGACTTTGTGAAGGAAAGTGAGAGAAGGTATTAAGAGAATTGGACGGAGTAGGGAGTGGGGGCGGGGAAGGGTATTAAAAGGGCAAAATGGAATGGCTGATGGAAGGTTGGGAGCGAGTGAAGGGAGAGGCTATGGGTTGCCTGTTGGAATGAGGTGAGGGGATAGCAGAAAGATGGGTGAGATGGAGAAAGGTGGAGTGGGGTGGCCGTTGGGTTCAAAGTTGGGGTGGGATGGGGCGAGGGTGAGAGACAACCCTCTTAGGATCCCACCCACCGGCTCCTCCTCACCCCTGGCCATCAGCCACCGACACCCAGGCCTGCTTACTGTCACTCTCTGGCGGTCTTTTGCTCTGCCTACGCTGAGCCTTTTACGTCTTTGGCCTCCCTGAAAAGGGCCCTGGTACAGCAATGAACAGAAAGGAGGCAGTAGAGAGCTTGGGAGCTTTAATGGGGAGGAAAGGGTTAGCTACACGCTGGGTCATTGAGCCAGAGTGTGGGGGTGGGAGAGAAGAAAGCCAGTGTTGGGCTGGGGATGGGGGACCGCAGAGATGTTTACCAAGCCTTCTCAGATCCCGGGAAGAAGGAGTGTGAGAAGCCTGGAGGTACAGGAGTTTGGAGCAGGTCGTCGGAGAGAGAGAAAAAAAAAATCAGGAAAGAAACTAGAAAAATAGGGGTTGTAGAGGGGGAGCCAGGGGTGCAGGTGAGAAGAGAAAGCGGCACCACGGGAGTTTTAGAATCTGGAGACTTGAAAGAGAAAAATTAAAGTGGGGGTAAATTGCCCTTCCTGGGGTGGAGATAATGGGGGGCTGGAAGCCTAGTGTTCTAGAAAGACCTCAGAAGCTTCCATCTTTTCTTCCCTGGGCTGGGCACGGCTGCTTCAATGAAATCTGTGTTGAAGGAACGTCGGGGAAAGCTTCGGGGCTCCTCCCAGGATGAGGGTGGGACTGGCCACTGGACGTCTGGGAGAGGCCCTGGCTCACCAGGCCGCCCCGTCTAGTGATAATGACCCCCTAAGTGCGAGGCGGCGGCCACCGCGCCGAATGGCCCGGGTGGGGGCTGCAAGCCCGGGGTGGGGTAGAGTGCGGTAGCTGCGGCGGTGGCGTTCGGACCGGGCCAGTAGGAGAAGCCAGCGGGCGCGACGCCGGCCGAGGCTGCCATAAGGTTGAGTTTGGAGAGGCTGGGGAACGGCAGCGGGGCCAGACCAGCAGGGAGCTTGTAGAGTGCGCCATCCTGGGCGGCAGCGGCTGCTGCTGCAGCTGCGGCGGCGGCGTGGGCGTGCGCGGGCGGTGGCTGGCAAGCCTGCGCCAGGCCCTGGAAGTCAAAGCGATAGGCGTAGCGCTTTCCGTGCACCTTGCTCATGATGTTTTTATCGTAGTAGTAGCGGAGTGCGCGGCTTAGCTTGTCGTAGTTCATGTTGGGCTTGCTCTTGCGCTCGCCCCAGCGTCGGGCCACCTCGTCGGGGTCGGTGAGCTTGAACTCGCCATGACCGCCTTCCCACGCAATGCAGCCGGCGTTTGCACGGTCTGCCAGCAGCTCCAGTAGAAACTGCCACAACTGGATCTGTCCGCTGCCTGTGGGGAAGGGGAGCGGTCAGCCACGGACCGGGCAGGCTGGAACCAGAGGCGGGGGGGGGGGGGGGGGGGAGAGAAGCGAAGCAAGAAAACAACACAAACCACTGCCAATCCCCGCTGAAGAAGACAAGGGCACTTCAGACAGCACCCCTGTGAGAAGCAGGAGGCAGCTGGTCAACCCGTGCAGACCAGCAGAGCACAATAGAAACGTCTTTCATTTTGGAAGAGCTAGGACACATTGCTCTGTGGTTTGTTGGGTGTGGAGTAGCATTGTCTCCTCCGTGGAGAAGCCGTGGTGAATCATATTAGGCTTTCCTAGGTAAGGGGCAGACATCAGACCCTACCCGACCCTGGGCACACTCCCTTATTTAAGGCTGTGACTGCACAGAGGTGCAAGACAGCCCGGTGCAGTGTGCCCGTAGACAGACCCGACCCGTAGGAGCGCAAGACAGTCCGTCTTTACCACCCAAAGGTACACAGTAAAACAGGCCTGACTTGAAGTAACACCAGGACAGACAAGAACAGAGGCCCTGGGTACTGAGGAGAGAGGCTGATTCTTGGGGCGACCCCAGCCTCATCAGCTTCAGGTGCACTGAACTCCGCGATGCTGGGGAAGAAGGAAGGGGACGGCTCTAAGGAAAGAGGTAGGACTGCAAAAGCATCGAGCAGGAGTCCTGGCTGGTCTTCCTATAAATCTGAGGGTTGCTGGCAGTGACAAGGAGGATCTCCCTGAATATTTTGGTGGTGAGTGACCCAGAGCGCACACTCTCCGGCTTTGAAGCCTTAAGCGACAAAAATCTTAGCAAACTGTCCCCAGTCCTTTTAGAGAATAAAACGGACTTGCCTCAGTTGGAGCCTGGTGGGTCTCTCCTCCTTCCATGTCACTCAGTGGGAACTCCCCCCCCCCCAAAAAAAAAGGTCTTTCTTCCAGAGTTTCAACCCCAATTCCTCTAGACCAGACTGATGAAGAGCTGGTTGGTTTTCCGGGAGGTCAGGGTTTGGTTTTAGAGCAGTAGTAAGGGAAGCTTTGGCCTAAAAGATGCATCCAGCCCCAAGTGGGAACAACAGAGACTTGGGCCCCCATCCGTGCTGGGTGTTACATCCCCTTCCTTCAGGAAAAGAAAAGCAGTTGCCCATCTCATCTTTTGTGGCTTCTTGTAAGATTAGGTCACTGGCTGGGGCAGGAGCTACAGAAAAGAGTTGAAACGCCAGCCATCAGAAGGATGATTGACTGACAGGCCTGATGTCTGCCACAGCGAACCTGGGTAGCAAACACAAGGCTGGCGTGGCTGGCGAGTCAGAAAGTTCAGCAGGGATAGCAGGAAGTGCCTGCCAGCAGTTTAGGCCTCTGCTAGCCTAGGATGGCTTAGAAAGTAGTTATTGACCCCCACACCCACCCCCGACAGGAAGTATTCAGACTTTGCTCCAAAGAGAGCCTTCCCCCAAAAGATGCTAAGCACCAGAGCTGCTGCTTGAAAGCTTGGAAAACCATCCACCCTTGACAAAAAGGATCTGGGGGCCAAGATCCCCTTCCTTCATCTGACCTGTTCCGTAAACCTAGAGCAAGGACTCAAAAAAATGCAGGAGTCAAAGATCAAATCAGTGTTTTCCCAGGGCCTCTGCACAAACTACCCACAGCCTTGTAATTTTCCAGAATGTGGGTGCACACCTCTCTGCCCCCTGTCTAGTGGCAGGGGTACCCGTCCTATTGGGTTCATAACCCTGCCCCCCATCTACTATGGTGTCTCCATCAGCCCAGTGTATCATTCAGCTCACCTTTCTGCACCGCGGGGCTCAGTGGCCCCCAGCTCGGGCTCTTCCCTTCCTTAAAAAGACCATCTCCGACGGGATCTGCAGCGCAGAAGAAAACAGTCAAGCAGACCTAGGCGGAAGTTGCGGATTTGGCCGAAGAAAGGGCCCCGGGCTGCAGTGCTCTGGGGTCCGGGCCACCCAGCTCCTCCTCCCCAAGCTAGGCTGCGCAGAGCCCCTCCATAGCGCCCAAGTCAGGAAACGCGTCCAGGAAAAAGGAAATCCGCTTTCCGAAGGGGCCGGCTGGAGCGTTATAAAACCCAGAGGGGATCGCGCCAGCTGAGTCTGAGCTAGCAGAGCCCTTCGTAAAGAGGAAGGGGGCGCTTGGAAGGCTGGGCCGGTGTGAACGCTCGGAGGACGGACGAAGGTGAGGACCCTTGTGGGCGCAGAGGTGACGCCCAGTGGATAACAGCTTTCGGGCAAAGCTGGAGCCCGGAGACCACCACGCCAAAGATCCCTGCTTTCAGCCTCCTAGGATCCGGAATCTGCGAGTCCTATCTAGACCCACAATGAAACCCCGGAGCTCGCTATCTACCTTGAATGCCCCAATATGCAACCATCAGTCCCTTTCACACACCCACAAAGCGACTCTCTGGAATCATTCCTTTCCTTTGATCCATCGAACTTGGCCCTTGCCCCAAGCTAGACTTCCCGCCCAGGGTCTTGGTGCCTCCAGCCCCCGGCTGGTCCCTGGTACCTGGCAGGTACATGTTGATCAGCAGGGGCTGGGAGGCGCCGCTCTGTCTCATCGCTGCCGGGGACTGGGCGGTGGGAGATGGGGGGACCAGTACTGGGGGGGCACGTCAGCTTTGCGCTTGGGGTGCCGATCCCCGCCCGAGGCGACTGTGGGTGACAGGAAAGAGTAGACGCCAGCGGGTCCGGCAAGGCCTGGCGGGAGCGGGCAGCCAGGGTGTGGCGAGGAGGGAGGGGGTCCTGGAGCGATGCTCCTAGCTACAGGGCGGCTTGCAGCCCTCCGGCCCCGCACGGGCAGGGGCCGCAATTTCCGTTTTAATTAAAGTGCGGCCGCCTCGGCCCCCCAGACCCCGCCCCCGCCCCTCTTATCTTCCCATCGCAATAAAGTCTCCAACGCGCAGCGCCTCAGCCAAGCGCACCCGGCAGCCCCCTGCGCTCCGCAGCCCGGGAAACACGCGGGGGATGGGCCCCCAGCTCCGCGCTCAGACGGGGAGCCTGGAGCGCGCTTCTTTTCTGTCACCCCGACTCTTCGGCAAACATCGTTGGGTGGGAATGCTGGCCCCAATTCGGACCATAGCCTCAGGCCCCCTCCCCAGAGCCTTCTTTCCAACCTCTCCCTCCCCTCCCTCACTGCTTACTCTCCACCCTCTTTCTCCCCCCCGCCCCCCCCCCGTCCCCGTCTCCAGGCTGCGTTATCTGCATCTTCACTTTTAAATTTCCGCTTCCCTCCCTCTCGCCTGTCGCTGCGCTCCCGGCCTGCTGCCGTGGCTCCCTTTATCTTTGCCCACCCTCGTGCCTTCTCCCTCTCTGTTGGTCCCTGGAGACCCGATCTCCTTCTCGGTCTCCCCTTTCATTGGTTTCCTGTCTTCGCCTGGCCCCACGCCTCAGGCAGGACACTGGGGCATCTCCCCTAGCAACTTCTGAGTTGGTCGTTTCCTTATTCGCCTCACCTCCTTCTTAGGTCTCCTTGCTGCCTTGTGACTGTTGTTTTTCTCCTCTTTTATCCTTTCTTCCTCCCCTCTTTTCATCTGTTCAGTTCCTGTACATTGGTTGCCTGTTGGAGCCTCTCTGTCTAGCCCGAGACAGAATAGATGTAAGCTGATTTCTCTCCTGTAGAGTCCTATTCCTCTTCCCAGTTCTCACTACAACTATTTCTCTGCCTCCCTTCCCCACTCTCACAAACACTCCCATTCTGGTTATGTATGAACCATGCTGCAGCTGCAGGGTTACAGGGATCCCAATAGGCTCTGTACATGTGTCTTTCCTAATGTGGCTTCCAGGTAGAGCAGGGTGTCTGGGTACCTGTGAGACTTCCTAGCCCTGAGACTGAAGTTGGTACCCTGGGTCAGCAATGCTTTTTCTACAACCCTCTGACACTTGGGTATGTGATACTTGACACACATGGCAGGGGGTAGCTGCTGTCAGAATTGCTATTTTCTGTGTCCTCCTCTCTCTTGCTTAAACACAGGAGCTAGGAGAGCTGGAAATGGACAAGCCTCCTGCAGGGTTCTTGTTCCCAGGGTGCCTGTATAAAGACTGCTGCAAAAATCCTACTTGGGTTCTGCAGGGACCCTGTCCACCCTCACTTGCTGTCAATCACGGGAGAGTTCATCTTTGCTAGGCAAAGGTACACAGGTGAGAGAATGGAAGATGAGACAGTCAAGAGAATCCTATCGAGACAGGGATGGAGACTTTAGGATGCAGATACGGGATCTAATCAAGCAAAAGCAGAGGTTGGGATGTTTTGGGGAAGCAAGCTTAGGACACCGCAGGAAAGGGCCTTAAGGGACTGCCAAGATCTCAGTCCTCCTCCTGTGCCCTCTTATGGCTCCTTCCAACAACTACGGACAGAAGGCAACAGCAAGAAGGTAAGAACAGGAAGAGCTGGAGGGCATGGAGGTTTACCCACTTCGTACTGTCAGCAGGAGACTGAGGCAGAAGGGAGAATTGTGGATGTGTTCCTACACAACAGCTGTCTGCTGGGCAAGCATCAACAGCTCAGACTTTGTGCCCAGTCTGAAGAGAACTCAGGTGCTGAAGGGGTGAGATTCCTTGGTCGCTTCCCCTCCATTGTCTCCCTGTCAAGCCGTGTATCATGGTTCCTCCTGAGTCTACAGACCACCAGCCTGTCCAGAATGGGAGAACCAGAGACTAAAACCCTCAGTTGTGACAACTTCAACCTCTCCTTACAAGCTGCCAGGGGCTGATAGGTGTGGGAAGCAGAATGTGACTTCTGGATCCAGAAAAACCTAAAAAGATCCGTGCAGGCAGAAGTTGGACCAAACAAACCCAAGAGCAGCAGCAACCTATCCAGGGTCTCTCTGCCAGGTCCTAGAGGTGACCACAGATGCTCCTAGAAGGGGGATGATCAATTGTGTGTCCAAGAGAAGGTACCAGGGAGAGCTCTCTCTCTCTCTCTCTCTCTCTCTCTCTCTCTCTCTCTCTCTCTCTCACACACACACACACACACACACACACATTGCCTATTTCTGGAAACAGGTAGTGAGAAGATGGGGCCTAAAGCCAAGATGTCCTGGGGCTTGGATTCAGCTCTGGTTCAGAAATCTTGCCTATATCCCAACTGTGTGACGCCGAGGAAGTATTGTACTTAGTCTTATTGTCTTAGAACTGATGGTGTAAGCATCATCTGCATATCGTGAGCTTTTCATAAGATAGCACATGGTAAGTACATAAGGACAAGGACCAAGTTGTATGCATTTAGTTTTGTTAATACTACTGTCCTGCAAAGAGACGGCCAGCCAGGAACCCACATGTTTCAGGCTCTGTTGAAACCTGAGGTTTTAGCCACAGCTCAGCTTAGCCTTAATTGATCCTGAATTTGGCACCTGGGACCCTGTTTTCAAACCCTGGCTTAGTTACTGATTGGGCTTAACCCCAGTTTCTTTGTTAATGAGATAGATGAAGAATGAGGATCAAATGCAACAGGAGCCGTGGACTCTAGAACCCATTCAGAACTGAAGCAGAATTCATACCCACTGAGAGCTCGGACCCTTGGTTCTGAGACCCGTGACAGGGCAGGTGGAGGGTCCTACATCCACTGCTTCAATGCTTTTCACAGCACAACACATATCCTTCTGCGGCCGTTATTAAATCCTCACAACCACCCCTGGACACACGCGAAGCATGAATAACTTCCATTCTGGGGTAGATAGCAAAGTTTAATATCATGGGAGGTACAAATGATTGCTGCTATAGTCTTGGGCCTGGGTTCAAAGTGATAAAGTATACTCTGTAGAAGGGCATAGTGGACAGGGGGGCTTCCCATGAATTCTTCTGGGAACAAAAGAAAGGTGACTTTTGAAAGACACTGGCAGGTTCCCCTGGCTGTCTGAAGACCAGGGTGAAGATGCAAACTGAAGATGGCCTGGGGTGGGAGGGATACAGGATCAAGAAATGCTTTTGTGTATGGTCCAGAATTTTTGTCCTGCATGGTGGTTGCTGACCCAAGGAGTATGTGGTGGTTGAAATTCAGTTTTGGACCCTAATTCATGATGGGATTGTTGATCCATCTATAGAATGGCCAAGGCACCATCTGGGCTTTCAATGCTTTGACCTACACGGATGTGTGACCCTGCCCCAAGTCAAGATCTGGAGCTGGCTGTATCTGATTGGATCCCACAACTCTTGCTGGCTGTTTCCCTAGCTTCCCAGAGCACACCCATGCTCCTCGCTAGGTTATAAGTGATAGGTAAAGGTTCTGGAGCCTTATTGGAAGAAACAATCCTCAAAAAAAAAATAAGAATGGAAATTACCTGCCTGCTGGGCAGTGGTGGCACACACTTTTAATCTGAGAGACAGAGGCCCATAGGATGTCTGAGATCGAGGCAACCTGCAGACTGTACTACAGAAAGAGTTCCAGGATAGTCAAGGCTACACAAATAAATCTTGTCGAAAGAAGAAAGAGAAGGAGGAGGAGGAAGAGGAGGAGGAGGAGGAGAGATTACTTCTCATTTACACAAATGTATCAAGTCCTAGGTTCCATATCACACACACACACACACACACACACACACACACACAGAGAGAGAGAGAGAGAGAGAGAGAGAGAGAAACAGAAAGAGAGAGAGAGCAAGAAGGAAAGAGGCAAGAGGAGAGGTAGAGTCAAGAGCTTTTATTAGAATCTTCAGGGTGATGATGACTTAGTGTAGAGCCTAGTGCTGGACTCTTCGAATGGACTGCAGCTGCCCAGTATGGGCCTGTGTGCCAAAGTCGCTGTAGGTACGGAACTCCCCACTGTGCCTGTCCCGCTCTAAGACATACTGGTAGCCTCGGTAACCTGGGTACTGGTAGGCCACCCACCTACGAGAGTGAAGAAAATGGTAGTGAGTAGGTTTTGCATTGCTCCCACCTGTGTGGTCCCCTCAATAGTCCCAGCTGCCAGGAGCCAGCTCCAAAGCCACACTTCAACCCTGCTTTTTGCTCTGGGTCTTCCTGTGATCTGTTTTAGCCTGTCTCCTACGCCCACCCTTCATTTCCTCTTTACCCAAGTTTTCAAACCCCAACATTCCCACACAAATCCCTGGATTCTGGTCTTTATTGCCTTTTCCTACTCTTTCTCTTCCTCTCCCCCCTCCCCTAGTCTCTGTTGGCTTCTAGCATCCTCCATCACCTCTCCATCTTCTCTTGGACTGCCCACTCTTCCTGCCTCCCCTGTTCCAGCCCCCAGGACTCACGCTCCAGAGCTGACTTTGATGGAGCCCACATCTTTGCTGGTCCAGCCCATGGAAGGCAGTGATGGGTAGTCATCACTGAGTTCAAACTTGCAACCCTGGAAGTTTCCCCCTTCAAACAGTGTCATGCGGCTGTCCCCGTGGTTCTGAGGCACAGAAATAGGGGGTGGGGTTACAGGGATGTCAGGCCCTGTTCATGGATATAATTTTAACCCTAGTCACCCAGTTCCTGTTTGGCACATATCATGCCACCTCTTAGACATTTCAGGAGTTCACCCCCCATCAGCTCCTAGTGGGTCTGGCCCGCTGGGATGCTCAGGGGCTCCACCTGGGCCCTATCAAGACTTGGAGTTATGTGCCAAGGCCAGACAATTCCCAGAGATTCTTTGAGCTCAAGGCTAGAGACTTCTGTGACAGAATCCTTTGCTGTTGTCATCTCTTTGTTATATTTGTGGTAACAGGGATCAAACCCTGTTGAGTATA